AGAGGGTGGGGAGGGTCGAGGATCAAGTCGCCTACGCTGCTATTACTTGCTAAACATGCCTGGCAAGGGGGCGGGGCGGAGGGGGAAGGCAGGAAGCATCAGGGATAGAGAACAGTTGAACATGTAAGGCGGGAGAAGGCAACAAATGCATACATAAAATATGTGAAAATGCGACAACGACAACAATACGTGGACGAACACAAGAAAGTGAATACTGGAGGATGAGGAGGAGAAGGAGAAGGTTGGAAGAGGGAAAGTACAGAGGAGGGAAGGAGGGAGGAGGGTAGGAGGGAGGAGGGAAAACGTTAGGGGGAAAGTCGGGGGGTTGCTGGGGGAATGCTAAAGGTGTGAAACCGCACCGGGGGCGGAGGGGGAAGGCAGGAAGCATCGGGGATAGAGAACCGTAGGTTGAACATGTAAGGCGGGAAAAGGTAACAAATACATACATAAAATATGTGAAAATGGGACAAGGACAACAATACGTGGACGAACACAAGAAAGTGAATACTGGAGGATGAGGAGAAGGTTGGAAGACGAGGGGGTGGGGGAAGAGAGAATGGAGGAAGAAGGATGAAGACGATGGGAACAAGGGGGAGGAGGACGAGGAGGAGGAGGAAAAGGAACAGCAGGAAGAGAGGGGCAGGCAAAAGCCGAAAAGGAGGGAGGGTACGGAGGGAGAAAGAGATGGAGCTAGAGGAGGAGGAGGGGGGGAGTAGGAGGAGGAAGGGGTATTCCCATTGGAATATTAGCAATATAAGGCATCTCAAATTCTTTCTCTAAATATTTGGCAGTCATCAATCCAATTTCACGATAAGGAATAAAATTGAACCATGCTCTAGGAAGATTTTTAGTGAATCATGTTTTTGAATATACTGGTTATCATTGTATATAGGAGGGGGGCGGTGGGGCGTTAAACGTGCGGAATCGCCTTTTTTTTGTTTTTCGTTTTTTTTCTTTTTGTGTGTGTGCGCTCGTGAGAGAGAGAGAGAGAGAGAGAGATGGGGAGGGAAAAGGGGGGAGGGTTTGGGGGGAAGTCAGAGGTGGGCGGTGGGGCGTTAAAGGCGCAGAATTGATTCTTTCCTGGTTTTTTTTTTTTTTTTTGTGTGTGTGTGTGCAATCAGACTCGTTCTCAAACACACTTTTCATGCATGTAAACAGCAACGCAGCATACTGGCGACATGCGCCCACTCAAAACTCAGAGATATGGCTTTCAGATACGAGTTCACTCTCAATTGGCTATGGCGACTTCAGCGCCCAAACATCTCACTGTTCACATAC